TTTTACAAGCATCGCCACCAGGGGCAATTTTCACCGGGGCCAGTATGTTAATACGTACCATAGAGGGTCTGGGTGCGTCCATGTTTTTCATCAGCGCTTGGACTATAGCTGGACTTAAATTCTCACAAAGTTTCGCCCGGATATTTGTGAGATAATTAATTAATTCATTTTATCAAGCAAATATTTAAAATATTTAATATTTTTGACATCAAGGCACTAACCGAAATGTTTTACGCAATTGGTATGATATTTGGTCCGGGTATTGGTGGTTTACTGGCTGAATTGGGTGCCTATATAAATGCAAGCTTTATATTGCCATTTGAAGTGCTGGGTACTTTTATCATTTTGGGTGCACTTTTGGCTCAATGTCTCATCACAAATGAAAGTAAATTTTGTATTTATCTTAAAGATCTTAATCTAAATCAATAACTTTTATAATTAAAGTCAAACCCGAAAGAAATACCGAAAAGACAAGTATACTAACCATATGTAAAAACTTTGACTTTTCAATCAATCTCTTGATTACAATCAACGGCTGTATTCTCATTGGCTTTAACGACGCGACCCTTGATTTGCATCTCAAAACTGTATGTCTGTCCCTATAATGGACATGGAGCTTACGATAATGAACTTTGTTTAGATCCAACACTTATCACCATCAGTGGAGGGTGCTATATTTGTGGTGCAAGGTGCTTTCTACGCCATGTTCAACCCCTACTGGGCCAGTCTGGTGGACAAAGTGGCCAGTAAGCACTCCCTATGTATAGCTGGCTGTGTTTTCTCAATGTTAAACTATATAATCGCCGGTCCATTGCCTTTCATACCTATCAACCCGTGAGTAAAAAATAAATAAACAATTTATTATACAATATAAAAATTTAATTTTTTATAGCAACCTATGGCTCGTAATTATCGGTCAAATATGTTTGGGAATTGCATTTGGAGGCATACTTGTGGGCAGTTTTACCCATGGATTTCAGGAGATTATGTAAGAAATGAAAACTCATTAATAGTTTTATTAAACGTAAATTTAATAGTAATTTAATTAACTATAGAAAGAAGGGTTACCCCGAAAATGTCAGCACATATGCCGTGATATCCGCGAGTTTTTCATCAGCCTTTGCATTGGGATCAGCTATAGGGCCGGCGATTGGCGGCTATTTGATGGGCCAACTTGGATATAGATGGGCTACATTACCAATGGTGGCCCTGGAGTTCCTATTTGTGAATTAAATCATTTTGTTTTCTAAAGTTTTATTAAATAACAATTTGTTCCCAGATTTCAGGTATACTTGTATTCAATTTGCGCGGAAAAGGGGACGACCGACGAGACAGTGACCTCTCAAATGAAAACAACAATTATAACGTTAACTACAATGCGAATGAAAATCATAATATCAATGATTCAAAGATTGATGAATACATTGAAATGGATTAATAGATTCTTGATCTAATCAAAATTATTTTATACCGTATTTATTAATTAAAATTATTTTTTTGTTAATACTAAATTCTCTTATTAGCTAATGTTACTTTCTATTAAAATAATTGTATGGTGTGTTAATAAATAAATATTTAAAGATTTAAAGTAGTTATTATAAATACATGGTTTTGTAATAGGGTTTGATGTAATAATTTGAGTGCTCAAGGATTGAATATTTGTTTAATTACATAATTAAACATTAAATTTAATTAAAAATTAAGTTGACAATTTCAACTTAATTATGTATTTCCCTTTTTAGAAAAATTATATAAATTATTGGGAGACTAAATTATGATTTATTTATTAATGATTGAGTGAGATGCTAGTATGTGTTTAATGTCGGGATTTCTCAAGGTTAATTGAGTCAAATTATACATTACATTAATACACAATTAGATAAATGATAGAATCAGCGATAAGCTACTTAATAAAATTAAACTTATTGTGCAACCTTGGTTAGTTCATAATTGATACATATAAAAGACTGGGATTTTAGCCTAACATTTCATTATTGGTTTTAACAATTACTTTAATAGTTTATTTAGTATTATCAAACAATAGACAGTATTTCTAAAATGTCAATAAAATTCAATTTTACCGGTAAAGTAGTGCTGATCACAGGCTCGAGTTCAGGTATCGGTGCCGCCACTGCCGTACAGTTCTCCAGAGCCGGTGCTAATGTTGTGGTCACCGGTAGACGAGCCGATAAAGTGTCAGAAGTGGCCAAAGAGTGTCTCA